GAAAGACCACTTTCTGCTATCATCAGTCCTTTGCGGTGGACTCAGATTTAAATCCGTATTTATGAGTCCTGAACATGCATACTGAAATAAGCTGCATGCAAAAGAAGATTAAAATAAGACACGGTGCTTAGTGCTCTCGAGATAACCACAGCTGATTGAAAAGGACGACGATTACTTTTGCTACTGTTAAACAGTATTTTAAAAGTACACTTTGTGGTCCATAGTAAGAAACACGTTACCTCACGAACCAGAATATACACAAGGCACAAGACAGAGCAGAAAGGAGGCCTTTTGGCTGCGCTGGCAGGTGTGAGGGAGGGATCAGGGAGGAGGGCCATCTGAGATGGGCCTTGAAGGGCAGGCAGGGTTTTGAGGGGCAAAAAGGCAAAGAAGAGGTTACAACCCAGATAAATCACACAATTCAAAGCAAGCAAGGAATGAGTCAAATATAAGGAACGGGTAACACTTTGGGGAGGAGTGTAAACTGGTATATTTGTAAAGGACAATTCAGTGGCACATATACAAAGGCTTTTAAATGTTCACGTTCTTTGATTCGGCAGTTCAAGTTACACGTGCAGCTCCTAAAGAAAAATCATGATGTTTTGTGCCATGTGCATATAGTACATACTCAAAAAAATGTCTTTTTAACGTAGGAAAAATTTAAGAATTATCATGGCGTGGGAAAAAAGATTTAGTTATATGGATGTTCATCACCACATCGTTTATAATAGTCAAATGTCAGCAAGTGGTTAAATACTATCTCCCTAAAATGGAATACTAATGAAGTGTTCCCAATAATGGAAGTACATTAACTGACATGGAACACGTTCCCCTAAGTTTTAAAAGCAGGCTTCAGAAAAACGTTGTCAGAGCTCATCATTTGTTGTTTTAACATATAGATACATCCTCAGGAAAACGACAGGAAGGACGCACAACGACAAAATAATCAGTGATTTTCTCTAAATGGTAAAATGGCAGATAATTTTTACTTTACTTTTGCTTCGCTGTATTTTGCAGTTTTCTAGAATGAACATGTATAATTTTCACATTAAGAAATAAAAAACATGGGATTATGTAAATTTTCTAAGAAAGGAGTAAAAATTTAGTCTTTTTTTTTTTTTCATCATCTTGGCTTTTATTTCCAAAATCCCAAACTCCGCAGAAAAGAGGGGATACTTGAGCAGAAACCTAACAGAAGCGGGGTCTTTGAAATTATGTACTTAACTGTCTTCTTTCCCTACTAGATTGTTAAGATCTAGATCGCCACAGAGAGGTAAAAATTTAGCCTTTTTAGGGCACTCTTCCACAAAAGCTGTGGTGTGGCAGACTGTTTTAGAAGATGATGGTGAATGCCACTGTTCAGCCATCCCTACGCGCTGCCCTGCACGGGCAGAAGTCACCACAGGGAGCAAGCAGGGAGAGGAGGCAGATTGTTTTAGCAGACCCCACTCTCAATCTTTCTTTTTGGTTTTGATGTGGGACACCTCTCCTGAGACTTTTACTTCAAACACCACCTTCCACCGGCCTTCTCTCCGCTGTGGGTCACTGCTCAGCTTCCAGATCCTTATGTATTTTCTGATCATCTGCAAAGAGATGTATGCCCTCCTCATTTCACATCTGTTTGCTACTCGTCAGGGAAACGGACTGGCAAAGATTAAATTAAAATCTGAGGGAGCTCTGATTGCTGGACCTGACCACTTCTGAAGCCCGTTCTGAACTGTGGTTCCTCCAGCGGGGCCTGGGCATCTCCTGGGGCGTGATGACAAAACCGGTCCAAAAAAGAGAGGCCTTTCTTTTGTCCTTACAGGCAAATGACAATCAATTCCTTAGATTTTCATCTTTACACATGACTAAGAACCACATCATAGTAACCTATTCATTGAAGTATTAAGAGAAAAAATTTGGGGGGGGCGCCTGGGTGGCTCAGTTGGTTAAGCATCCAACTTCATTTCAGCTCAGGTCATGATCTCATGGTTCGTGGAATCGAGCCCCACATCAGGATCTGTGCTGACAGCTCAGAGCCTGGAGCCTGCTTCGGATTCTGTGTCTCCCTCTCTCTGCCCCTCCCCCACTCACGTTCTGTCTCTCTCGCTCTCTCTCTCAAAAATAAATAAGCATTAAAAAACATTTAAAGTGATAAAATTTGGTGTTCATAAACCAAATTAGATGTTACTACAGTTAAACAGTATTTAAAAAATACATTTTATAATCCATAGTAAGAAACACATGTTACATCATGAACCAGAATACACACACATTCTGAACATAACTGAAACACAAGTTTCACAGTATTTATCCTTACTGCATGAGCCACTCTGTTATTTTATATTCCATCTCATTTTATTTTTTTTTAACTTTTATTTATTATTTGGAGAGAGACAAAGACAGCGTGAGTGGGGGAGGGGCAGAGAGAAAGGGAGACGGAGAATCCCAAGCAGGCTGCCCACTGTCAGTGGGGAGCCCGATGCGGGGCTTGAACCCACCAAACCATGAGATCACGACCTGAGCCAAAACCAAGAGTCAGACACCTAATCAACTGAGCCACCCCGGCACCCCTCCAACTCATTTTAAAATAATCTATAGTGGGGCGCCAGGGTGGCTCAGTTGGAAGAATCTGACTCTTGATCTCGGTTCAGGTCTTGATCTCACAGTTGTGAGTTCAAGCCCCACACTGGGGTTCAAGCCGTATGTGAAGCCTACTTTAAAAATTTAAAAAAAGGAAAAAATAAAATAACCCCTAGTAGTTATTAGGCAGCTGCACATGTTTGGGCTCTCTTCCAGCTGAGAGGTGGGGATCTGCGTTCCCTTCCCTTGAACCTGGACAGGCTCATGACTGCTTCAAACAATAAAGGGCGTTCATTCTCAGGGCGCCTGGGTGACTCAGTTAAGTGTCCGACTTCAGCTCAGGTCATGATCTCACAGCTTGTGAGTTCGAAACCTGTGTTGGGCTCTGTGCTGACAGCTCAGAGCCTGGAGCCTGCTTCAGATTTTGTGTCTTCCTCTCACTCTGCCCTTTTCCCACTCATGCTCTGACTCTTTCTCTCAAAAATAAATAAACATTAAAAAAAAAAAAAGGCGCTTATTCTCTAGACGCTTCCCTTTAGGAACCCAGCTACCATGCTAAGCAAAGTCTAAGCCACAGGGAGGGACTACATATAAGCACTTGGGTCAACAGTCACAGCTGATCCCACCAAGCTTTGGAGGCACCGCAGGCCCGGGGACCAGACATGTGAATGATGGAGCCTCAGAATGATTTTTTTTTCATGTTTATTTATCGGTATCAAAAGAACCGGGACAAGCCATGCCCTACCGGGCCCTGGCCCAAATTCCTGAACCAGAATCCATGAACATAATAAAATGTCTATTGTTTAATGCCACTAGGTTTGGGGCATTTGTAACACAGCAATAATAACTGGAACGACAGTGCCAGGCGTAACCTGCAAAACTGATGTCGCGATCCATTCCTGGGCAGTCTGACAAACCCTGGTTCAGAGGACACTGATCCATCCAACCCTGCCAAGTTACCCTGAGTCTGTGCATACTCAGGTTGTAACCAGAATGGACGGGATGGGTTGGGGGGGAGGGGAGGTAGAAAGTGGGGTGTGGCCCCATATGAATGGGCCAGCATCAAATAGCCTTGAGATTCACTAGGACCAACCTCTGAAGCGCAAGAAGGTCACACTGTTCTGGCCTGAGTCCCAAGGTGTTCCTAACCTAAGGATGGGCCAATGTCCCCCTACGTAAATATCTACCAAAACAGATACTTAAGGTCCCCAAAGCCCCACAAAACCTTTTTGGTCTAAAAGGCTGCCTATCTACTTCTATCCACTTTGAACGCTGTCGAGCCTGTCTACAGTGTCAGACTTCTCTGTTAATGGATAACTTTCATCTAAATATAAACTCGGATTAATCTGTTAAGGATTAGCAGATTCTTAAAAAAAAAAAGAGAGGGGGAGTCAGAAACATTTTTGGGAGACGGAGAATGCCAGGCCGGGGGCCAGGGAACTTAACTTCCATTGGTTAAATGGGCTTTTGGTTTCTTTCTTTAAATGTCACTAGTTAGGCGAATATAGTACTGGCCCGGAGGCAAAAAACAGGAAATTCGTGACTAGGAAAGGACTCCCAGGGAGGACAGCCTGGGGTGGGAGCAGTGGGGAAACCTCCCAGGGGAAGGAAGGTTCTTTCAGCCAGCCTCCTCATGGAAGTAGGTCATCTCAAGAAGCTGGCCTCAGGGGAGCCCCCCTTGAAAGGAAAGGTCCAGACCAGAGAGGAAATGGGAATGTGGCCTCGGGGAACTCTCAAGTCAGAACTTGGTGGACTTCAAGGGCTTATGGTGGCCTTGGGATATGAAAAGCATATTTATATTCTCATTGGCCACAAAAGCAAGAACATATACCCCTGAGCTTGAGACAGTGGAAGAAAAGATCAACCAGAAAGAACTGGAACCAGTGAAAAACCTAGACTAATTTATTTATGCACAGCATGTCTCTCCCTAATCCATAAAGGAAAACGTTTTACTATTACACCAGATAAATCTGGTTCCGTTTTTCTTTTTCTTTTTCATCTGGATGCGCTGTAAGCACTCCACTGCCTTCTTTAATATGTAATGCACACAGGTCACTAAAAGTTTCTGGAAAACCGTATCTGGGGCAATTGGTGAGCTAAAGTCACTGCCCAAAAGAGCAACTAACAACCACAACAGCAGCTGCAGCCCCGTTCACCCATTTAAGCCAACAAGCACCAGTGGGAGAGACATATTAGAAGCAGAGAAACGAAAATGAGTCCCGAGCTTGGGCGGGTACATAGGTACTCAGTAAGAATCAACAGGAGAATGAAATGCATAGACAAACAGACTGAGAAATTCTTGGCATCTGGAGAAAATGGAATCCCAGCAAGTTCCTTTTTACCTCTTCCACCACGTGTACAGAAGAGCAAAAGGGAAGTGAACAAAACAAAAACCAAAGCCTAAACAGAATGAACAGCTGGACCGTGGCCCGCTCAGAAATTAGTCAGTCACTATGAAACAACTCGGTTCACCTACACAGAATTTAGCTAAGGCCAAACTAAGGAAGAGTCATGTGATTTCAGAAAAAAGATTCAAGATGAACAGACGAAGGAAAGTCACCCATTAGGGAGAGAAATAACAAACTAGACCAAATTCACTTACTAAGTGGCCATTTCATACAGTTCAACCCAACAGACACCAGGCACTGTGCCTGGGCTGCGGGTACAACTCCTCCATCCAGGAGGTCACGGTCTAGAGGAGAGGACAAGGAGCAGACAATGACAATATGGTGCGCTGTCTGCTAAGGTAGAGGTAAGCACAGACCACGGCCTTCAAGAAAGATTCCTGAAAGAAGTGATCTCATTCTTTTTTTTTTTTT